ATCAACGTCCTTTCATAATCTACTTCAGGACAAGGCTTTTGTGTTGGAGCAAATCTAAGTATTGCTACACTTCCAGATGTTTTAAGTTGAGCCTTTTTTTGTGCTTACTTCTAGAATGCCCTTCACTCTTCCTAACTTTGAATGTATAGTTGCAAGTGTTTGCAACAGGGGTCCCCTTGTATTCAGTAGTGAAGAGAAAGCCAATGAAAAGCTAGGGTCATCGCACTTCCCTGCCTTGACTAATTTCCAATATAGGCTAGTTTTGATATAAGAGGTGGATTTACCATGAAGCTAAATGAAGTTAAACTTTCAGAGCCTGGTTCTTGCAAGGCCCTTTCCAGGGCCCTGTGTATACGAAATTCCGTAAGATTAACAGTCCATAAATCTAGATCTACTTCTGCCTCATGTATTTTTATATAATTATAATGGCCAGCATACATTTATTTCTATGTGCAGAATCAATTTTAGATATGATAGTATAATAGTGTACAAGGGGAGGGTGGCATAGTATACATACGACTATACGTATGTATGTATGTACGACTACGTACAGTCGTATGTACACTATGCCACCCTCCCCTCGTAATATGATATAAAAAGAAGTTTCAAAGTACCAGAAAAGAAACTAATGTGTCTGTGCCTGTCTGAATGCAGTTAAGCTCCATAGCATTGTATTTACATCAATATTCCATTTGGTTAAACACTTTAGATTTGCTGTAGATTATTTTACCTCATTAAATATTCATGTGGATTTTTTTCATAAACAAAATAGAGTCAGTTCCAGGACAGCTGTAACCTGTAATATTTAAGAACTCAGGTTTAATGGTTACATTAATACGGGTTTACATGTGCTGGTTCTGCCACTTACTAGCTGGACCTCATATTCCTCATTTGTAAAGTAGGCGTAATTCTAATATTTATCTCTCAGTGTTACTGTGACAATTAAATGAGAGACTGTGTGTACCATGTCTAGCAAATAGTAAACACTTACATATTAGCTCTTATTATTTACTGGTAGTAAACTCTCTAACTGTTTAACTATAAAAAAAGATCTTTACTAGGTATTTGCCAGAAAGCTGAAATTAGCCTCTGGCAATAGCAGTTGTAAATTACCCATGTATGGACAGTATTTTCTCCCTGGAGGAACAGTTAAAAAAAAAAAAACTGATAATAATGCAGAATTTTTAGAGCTGTAGGGAAGGAGGGAAAGGTTTTTTCCTTATTGCTCCAAAGGCAGAATTAGTAACAATGATCCAAGTTCCAAGGGAGTAAGCTTAGATTCGGTACATGGAATAATTTTCAGTCACAGCTTCTCAGTATAGAATTGGCTTGCTTGCAAGCTTACAAAAATTATTCATAAAAAGGTAGAGGATACTAGAACACTCCCTCTTCATTGGTCAGTGCTACTGTTTAAATCTAGGTTTTATCACCTATGTAAAACTTTAACTTCACAGTTGATGATTAATTTATTCAAGTTCTTGGTATATTATTGTAAATTGAGTTTAACTTTGCCAGTTGAAAGGTCGGCTCTCACGTGGCCTCGTGTCACCATACAGGCTCTCAGTCATCTTACAGTTTGAGTGTACACATTCTTCTTAGTCAATTCAATTTAAAGTGGCAGAAACCAATTAAGAATAACTTTGACAACTATGTTGATTTCATTGTGGTTGTGGTGCCCTGAAAATATGATTCCTTATTACTAAATAGGTTTTAAATCAAAAGATAAAAACCGGTTAATAACCTTTTTTGATACTACTAAATTTTTCCCCCATTCTTTCTTTTCTTTTCTTTCTCTTTCTGTTTCTCCTCACCCAAGGACATGCTTATTGATTTCAGAGAGAAGGCAAGGGAGGGAGAGAGAGGGAGAAAAACATAGATGTGAGAAAGAAACATAGATCACCCATCTTGTACATGCCCTCACCAGGACAGAACCCACAACCCAGGCTTGTGCCCTGACCAGGAATCGAACCGGCCTTTCAGATTACAGGGTGATGCCCAGCCAACTGAGCCACACAGGTCAGGGCTCTCCACCCTATTTTTAATAACTTCTTTTGTATGTAAAGTACAGCTTCTTTCTTCCTCTCTATATCATCTAGCACACCCCTTTAAAGGAATGAATAAAATGAATGTTTAAACTTCTTGATGTTATTTAATGACTTTGCAAGTTGTTTCATAACAGCAAAGTGTTTGTATGTGATTAATAGCCTGGAATATTAACATCTTCAGGAACATTAGGTTGTTGGTGTTTGTTTAGAGTGGTTGCGGAAGAGAGTACTTAAAAAAAAAAGTCTCTATGAGGTAGGGTGGTGTGGTGTAACAACTCTAGCTAAATTTTGCTCGGGTGTAGTATGTAAAAAGGAAGAGCCTTTCAAGGGATCATGCTCGTAGGAATGGTGGTCATAAGGAAATTCCGAAAATTATTTTTAATCTATTTGAGCCTATATATGAAGTTGTTTACACCAAAGTACAATCCTACCAGCTGTCTGCCTGTGACAGGTAATATCCTCAGGGCTTACTGAGTGGGAGGAAAGGAGGAGTCCAGAGGATTTCCATGTACCTGAAAGTTAAATTAGTAAGATTCAAATTTTTTTCTAAGCTAATGCAAATCAATTTATACCACAATTTATTGTCTGCCTCAAAAATTAAAAAGCATGGTCATTGGGAACCCCCAAATTATTCTGAACTTGTAAAATAGTTACATTTCAACCTGCACATGGTGATTTATTTTTTATTTAAAATGTGGAGTGAATATACATAGGTAATAATATAACTTAATCATCATTTTGGTTAAAAATGGACAAAAGCTCCCTTTTTCATGAATTTTCTCAGAGTTGGCAGGGCTCATGGCTGTCAGTGGGCACGTGGGACAATGACTGACTGAGGATATAGCAAAGGAGGAAGGAAAAATAGAATACAAATAAAGGATGAAGACAAAAATGTCTAGGGAAGTAAGGGAGAAATAGAAGTGGGGTGGAGAGACAGAGAAGAGTTTCCAAGAGAGTATATGGCTTTCCACTGATAATTGTATAAGGTAGGAAATTCCTGTTATTTTTTGCATTTCAGAGCAGCTGCATTAAAAAACAGTGTGAGTGTAGGGGTCATAAATCATTTTCCACAATAGGATGTTAGAAAGACAGAACTCATACATTTCAATCAGTTTACCTCTTGCCCCAGTGAAAATATCATCATAGGTTCACACACTGGTATGTGCATGGAAACCACCTGTTTAATATTACCAGTCTTAATTTAAAAATTTAGTATAGTTTCTAAAGACACATTAGATTCATTCAGTTTTTCCTCCAGTTCACCAAAGGCCCACTATGTTGAAGGATTAAGTTAGATGTGGAAAGGAAGAGACAAGAGGGAGGGTGGGACCAAAGGGAATGGAATTTGACAGATGAAGACATGGGTAAGGTAACAAGAACACTCAGTGGTTTACTCAAGTTTGGAACTGGTTCTGTCGGCGCCGGGGAGAGGGGGGGCAGGGGGGCGGGGGCTAGTGTAAGGTTTTTAAACACAGAGAGACATCAGTAGGGCTGTGCTTGGTTGTGACAAGATACACAATAATTTAGAGGAAAAAGCAAGGAAATGAGCTAAAAGAGCTGTTGTAAGATTGGAGCTAAGACTTAATTATAGGGTGTGGAGGGGCCTGGGCAATGGGGATAGAAAGGAGAAAACAGGTAGAGCCCTAAGAAGGTGGAAATGCAAAGACTGAATAACTAATTGTGGAGAGGGAGGAAAGAAGCTATGATATACTCTTTTGAAAAGTTTTGGAAATGACAGCTTCTTACAGATATGAGAGGATTAAAAATAAATTAACATTTTAAGTGTGTATGTCTTTCTCATGATACTTTTAAATAATGACAAAATTATAAATATGCTTATGGAATGATAAAGTTGAAAAGTTGTTCATGAGGAATTTTAGATAGATCATAAAGGTAAACAACAACCAAAAACCCACTTCAATTCAAACTAGGCGGTATACAGAAGAAGGTAGAACTTTTTAGGGGGGAAAGAACAGAAGCATCTTTTGTATTTTTAATAACTTTTGAGCTTGTTTCCTGATCTACAAGACAAAGAAAGAGTGCTGGTTAAAAAGAGTGGAATGTTGCCTAGAATTCTGTTCAAATCTAGCATCTGGCGCAGAATGATTGTGTTATAGTAGACAAGTTACTTAACCTGTCCCTCAGCTTTACTTTCGTCATGATTTGCAAAATACAGATGACCATTCCTGTGTTGTAGGGTGTGTGTGTGATAAAGAGATCAAGACAGATAGAGCATTGAGCTGCATTGAATGAGATAATACATGTAAAATACCTGTCCACTGTCATGGAGAGCCTGGTTTATAGGTGCTCAACAAATGACAAGTTCTTTTTTTATTCTCAGCAGCAGCATTTAAATGTTGGTAGAGGTGTGTCTCTTTTTGATACTGAAGGGTGTTTTGAAACTTAGCATTGACTTTTATGTGAAAGAAGAAGACATTACAGGGTACACAGTCATTTTTATTCGGACATTTTTAACCAGGACACAAGAGGTAAAGCCTTTCTTGTGACCTGTAATTGCACAGTTTTGCAGCAGATTCAATGGTTTCTGCTATGGTTAATTAAACTATAGCAGAACAGGAAGGGGTTAATAAATGACCTTACTCATGTTACATGAAGTAGCAGAAATTATCAGATGGAAACAGGAATTGGAAAGGGGAAAAAAAAAAAGGTTCTCCAGTAACTCATTGTTTCTTAGCCAAGATAGCTTGTACTTATATTGATGAGAGGAGTCAACAGCCTGACAGTTTAATCAGATCTGAATTTCTCCTGAGTGGTGGCAACAAGTAATTCCCCCAGCACAACCCCTTAACTAATGCCGCTCTAGCTGGAAAGGCCCCGGGTAGAAACAATACTGAGTCACTCAGCTCTTCTCATTGGAGAGCCCGGCAGCCCTTCAGTGGAGAGGCCCCGCCCCTCTCTGGTGAATTGCTGGCCGCGGGAGGAGGAGCTGGCGGATGCTAATGAACGGAGTTGCCCGGCGGGCGAGCTAGGAACTTCATACTCCATTCTCAGTGTCAGGATCGCAGGAATTATGCCCCTTCTTTCACCATGAGCTGGCTCTCCAACTCCCAGGGAGTGGTTCTAACTGCCTACCACCACAGCAGCAAGGACCGGGCCGTGGCGGGTAGCCATGGCCAGGGAGGGGAGGAAGCCACCTCGAGGTAAGTCCTGGCATTTGAAAGCCGGAGAACAAAACAAAAACCTCTTACCTGCTGGGGGGGCAGGGGGAAGAAGTGACAGGGAAGTTGGTGCAGGAAGAAAGGAATGACTTCGCAAGTGCAACCTAACCACCTGCAGCAGCAGCAGTGTTTGGCGGGGGTTTTTATTTACTTTGCATCTCATCTAGTCCAAGTCTGAAATAGCTCATGTAATTACTGGTAAATATAGGGAAGAAGGACTGGGGCTATGCCTGTCAGACTTGTTGCTTAGCAGGTGCATTTCAAATGCTGAAAGATCAAATGACTGTATTTGAAACACTTCCTATGAGGTGGAATTCTTGAATGGGCTCAAGGCTCAGCACTGGATCTGTTAGTTGGGAAAGTGTGCCAATATGGGAGGAGAGGGGCAGTGAGGTGGGGGGAGGTTGTTCACTGTACCAGCTGTTGTTGGAGTCTGTCCCTGCCCCCCCTCTTTGCTGAAAGCAGATTTCTTAGGCAAAAAGCCTAAGACACTGGCCTGTGGTAGTATGTTTTATATTCTTTTGTGTTTGTGAATTTTGGGGGAGGTGTTGGGGAGGTGACTTTTATCAGGAGATAGTACTCTGGTGCTAGAAAAAGGTGGTTAATGTTAAATCACTTTGTAGGTGAAGAGGGCAAATGTTCTACAGACCACTGAGGTGCAGGGTACCTTTCCCTCTCTGTACTTTGGTTCTATTTTCCAAGGACTTTTTTTTTTTTCATTCTTTCCCTTAATGACCTTCTCCCTGGTCAAATGTGTTCTTTTTTTTTTTTTTTTTTTTTTTTTTTTTTACTTCAGCCTGAGATATAAATTGTAAATATTGGCCGAAATGCTTGCAAAGAGTGTGCAGGACACTAAATTAGTTGTCAGTAAGCACGTTTCCTCCTTGACTTTTCATGTGATAATAAAACCTTTGTTCTTGTGTGACTGACTTATGCTTATGCCTTAAGCTGAAATAATGCCTTCTTTCATTTGTTTTAAAATCCCCACATATGGGGATGGGGAGTAAAAATCAAAGGAATGGCTGTAATGCTCTGCCTTAGATACCCAGGCTGCCCAGAACTTCTCTGTAGATAGCAGCCACAGTATGCATTCCACTGAGAGTTAATTCATTTCTAAAGATAAAAGGGGATTGCCTCCTGGTGTGTGACCATTTTATTTTCTGCTTTTTAAAGTATTTTCTGTGAGCGATCATCTATGTTTTTGGAGGACACTGATGTAACCTACCAGCAGTAAGCAGCCTGCTACCCCAGCCCCATAGCTTTTATAAGTTGGAGTCCACACGACAGTCAAAACTGCCAGAATTTTGCAAGCTTAGCATATTCTCCTGTGACTTTATTCTGGGTGGCCTGGGGTGCTGAGCTGAACTGTGGCTCTCAACTGTGAGAGTGGAAAGAACCTTAGGGACAGTGAGTCCAGACTTCTGTTCACCTTGAGGACACCACCCCCACCAGGGAGTTAGGTTGTTGCAAGGTCTATGGTTCTAGGCCTTTGCCTGGGGCTGCATTATCTAGTTCTGAAGACTGTATCCTGTGTTTGTAGTTTTGCAGCCTTTTGTGGGTGGCCTGTAGTCGAGTGGGTTGAGAGAACAAAAGAGAGGAACTAATCATTCTCAACCTATCCTAAGGCCGAATTGAGAGGTACTGACTGATGTGGCAGGCTGCTCCAGGCACAGTGACAGCACCAGGTCTGAGCCCATGTGCCTCCTCTGCTGGCTGCCATATTGCTTGTCCATACTGACCCAAAATCCTCACTAGCGAATTAGGGTCCTAGGGACAGTTATTTATATTGACTGGAGAAGATAGAAGTTCTGGTTTGAGGGCTTGGAGGAAAGACTAGAAGGAGGGAGGAGAGCCAGTCCTTGTTCACTTTTACCTGTGATAAGCTTTTGTGTTACTGTGGGAGGTTCCCTGTTTAGCCTGGAAGGGTTGAGATACTAGAAGTGGGAGGGACAAGGTGGGTGGAGGGAGGAGTGATTTGAGGGTGGGGTAGGGTCAGGATTTGACTTGCTAAAGATGGTGGTGGGGGAGGGAATGCACAAGACTTAGGCTCTGGCTGGGCTGGTCAGCTAATGGGGAGTTGCTTAGAGGCACAGAGCTGACGATAGAGGCCTATTTTAAAAAGCTTCTGCAAGGGCAAAACCAAACCGAACAAATGAAACTTTAAAAAAAAGTTTATTGATTTTAGAGAGAGAAGAAGGTGTGGGGGAGAGAGAGAGAAACATTGACTTCTTGTTCCACTTATTTATGCATTCAGTTCTTTGGTGTTCACTGGCCAGGATCAAACCTGAAACCTTGGTGTATCAGGACAACGCTCTAACCATCGGAACTACCCCACCGGGGCACAAACAAAACTCTTAAAAAGAGAAAAAGTTAGATTCTGTCTATCCTTCCCCATCCTTGCTGCCATCACCACCTATTTAGAAGTTGTTGGAGGGAGCACAGAAATCCAGCTTGGGTTATTGCAGGATTTTTGTCTTTTCAAAATAGTATGCACTTTGATGAATTATTTAATCAAACGTTTAGTTTAATAAGATGAGTGTATATATATACTCATATATATACTCACATATATACTCATATATACAATAGTGTGTATATATATATATATATACTATTTGAAAAGTGTAAAGGGCTATGTCTATGATTAAGAATTTTTATAGGAAGTGTTTCACTTTTAGCCTTGCCTTGCCAAGTCCTGTTTTATTTGGTCTTTAGAGACCTGAGGGAGTATGGAATTAATTTTTTTAAGTTATCTGTTTTTCTAAAATTTCCTTCATTCCTTTTTTAAGCTTGATCGGGAAACATTCATTAGATGCCAGATAAAAGAATTTCTCCTAATCTTAATTAGAGCCTCTCAAATATTTACAGAATCCTGTTTTCAATTTTTTGTGTTATTCCCTTAAAACAGTAGAATTTAAAGAAATATGCTAACATTAGTTCTGTGTGACTTGTACACAGTTGAACGTTTGCAAAGGAAACCATTTTATGAGTAGCTATATTTATAAGACTTTATTTACTTCTTAATTTTCAAGCAGATTTCTTAATGTTTATTTTTACAAAGGTCTTTTTCCAATAATACTGCATTTTGTCTATTCTTACTGTTTTCCCTTGACTTTCTGGACATTCTAAGAAAAACTATTTTGTGTACTTTGTATCGTTTTTGCTAATATTTTGATAAATATTAATGTAAAAGATATTTTCCTTCTTTTTGGACCTTTTAGCTCTGGCCAATATGTGAGATTTTTTTTTTATGTCTTTTACAAATAATGGTGTGGCATTCGTCATGCCGGGTCTTGTTTTTTTGACCCCGTTTGCCACTGGCATTGGATAAGCAGAACCAAGAGGCCCCGTGTCATGGTGATATATGCCCTGAAACTCTGGGCTCTGGGGCCATTCTGCCTGGGTTCCCATCCTGGCTCTGCTGCCCATTGGCAATGTGGTCTCAGTGGAGTTATTTAACTGTTTGTAAATTGAACTTCATAATAGCTCTTACTTCATTGGAAGAATTAAGTGGAATGACCCATGTAAAGGCCACAAAACAGTGCTTGGTTCATAGCTAGCTGCCACTTTCCTTAACACAAGGTAAACTAAAGGAAAGATGTGATTTAGCCTTGCAACATATAAATATTATGTTACATTTTCGTAAATATTTTGTTATGTGTTAAGAAACGTGGGCGTGATCCATGTGCTTAACTATAAATGGCGTAACTGAAAATTAACCGTAATGTAAAAGTTCAGGCCTTTGAGGTTTGAAAGACCTTGGAAATGTCCTTTTGGACTAGAGAAACATAGACAATTTGAACTAGTGACAGCCACTTCCAACAAGCCTGCCTTGGGGCATCTGTGGGCCACACTGAAGCCTGTGAACCTGCTTTTATGGCAAGATGAAGTGTGGGTGAGTCCTCTTTTGGCAGCTGGGCTTGTTACTGCCTCCGTGGTCCCCTGCTCCTTTAAGAACTACATACTAGTGCCCAGTGTGCCAAATGCAAGAGGACTACCATCTTTACGAGCTCACGTTAGTCCTGGACTTGCTCACATCTTCCCTATTTCTGCGTTCTATGAACTCACTTGGTAAGCATAGTCAGTCGGTCACTCAGTCATCCCACATAGAATTACTGAGTTCTTACTGGGTATCAGACAGTCGTCTAGGACTATAAGGATGGCAAATGCCTGCATGGGGGAGATGGGGCCTGGAGTGGGGAATGAAGACTTGATGAGCCTTGTAGATATATGGGCATAAGAGTTAGGGAAAGAGCTCCCAGGGCAGACAGGGGAGGGGAGTGTAGAAGCCGTAAGTCTGGTGTTAGCCCAACAGCAACATGCAAGAACCCAGAAGAGCCAAGAGCCCTGCATGACTCCGGGGGTGGGAGGAGGAGGAGGTGAGGAGGGGAAAACAGTGGGAAGGTAGAACTGATAGCTCGGTAGAACACTTGAAGAATGGAATTGTTGCTCCCAGTGTGATGGGGAGCCAGCAGGAGGGTTTTGAACATGGGAGAAATAGCATATTTTAGTTTTAAAAGGTCTTTCTGGCTTTTTTGTTGAATGTAGACTGTAGAAGAATGGACACGGCTCAGGAGGGTAAGGTGATGGTGGCTTGGGCCAAGGTTTCAGTCGTTTAGGCAGTGAAGGTGGTGAGCAATGAAATATTTTGAAGGTAGAGCCTGTAGGATTTCCTGGTGGTTGTGATATACGAGCAAATGAGGCTAGTTAAAGATTGTTGCAAGATTTGGCCTGTACAACTCTAATGATTTAGATGGGGAAGACTTCCCAAATGAAGGAGGGTGGATTGGGCAAGATCTGAAGCTCGGTTTTGGGCATGCAACTCGGAAACATCTTGACAGTAGCTTTAAGGAAAAGACATCGTCTTTCCTGAAGAGGTCAAAGTTTTTTTTATAAATTCACAGCATTAAATAAAAAACAAACCTGTATACTGTCCTTCTACATTTCTGTATTATCTGAAATTATGTATTTTTTGATGAAGG